TGTTTCTGGTGGATGACTGGGAATAGAGCCTAAAGTCTTAATTTCCTTCTCAATGGACTTGAAACCATATTGTTTTCAGGCATATGTCTAGTTCTTGTACCTTGCCTGTTCGTTCTTTCTTCATTTTTGGCATCCTTTCTTGCTTTTTGATGCTTAACCATATATTAAAAACATCTTAAAAAATATATTCCCCCCAGCATTTCAATGGGTTTGGAGCAGGCACTGGGGTTTCCAACTGTGGTGAACACTGTGATGCATGGCCCAGAAACCCCTTCACTGAAGGATTTGTTGACCCAGCTGCTGGCTGTGCTGTCTGTAGATAGTGCTCAGCTGTTGGACCCTTTGGGGATTGTCTCAGCTGCAGGGAGCCCCCTTGTCCAAGGTCAGGCTCCTTTCTTTCCGTAGGCAGCCTGCATCCAGTGACTGATTAACGCAGGAGCATAAAGGCCAGGCTATCTTGGCCCAACTCAGGACAATTCTGAAGAGTCGTTCTAGTTCTCAACTTACCATGAGTTCAATCGTGGCGGTCCCTGAACCTGCATCGCAGCTTGATTTCCTTCTTTGCCTGTTCCTGCTTCCCTCCCATGCTTTCAGGAAGGCTGATTTCCAGGGCTCTCCTGGGAAGCATCATTTACTAACCTCTGCATCACAGTCTGCTTCCTGGGGAACCAACCTAGGACACCCATATCAGACCACTCTATATTGACCAGAAGTCTCATATTATAAGACATTTAGAAAACTTTTTCTTTACAGTGTTGATGTGAGCAGCTGCCAAGCCAGTCAAGTCCCCTTATCCTATACTTGTATGATAGATTTATGTAAGAACTCACTTACTATATTACGTTTTTTTTTTTTAATTCTGCCATATGTTTCAAGCTATTAGGATCACTTAAAATTTTGATATTTTTGGCCTTTTGATTTCTTCTCTTTTCCAGCTTTGTGACATTTTGAAGTTTACATGCAGGCCTTCATCCTGATAAATGATAAAAATATTTATAGCAAGAATTAAGAGCCTCTTGGATTAACTCCTCCTCAGAACACAGAGCCACTTTTATACCCTAATTTCAAATAGCTCGAAACCTATGCTACCGTCTACATTTCACTATTTTACCTAGAAGGACATCAAGAGAGACTTTACCAAATACATGAATTTGTGAAATCCTGGTTCAATCTGTTTACTGAATTCCTCTCATTTAATAACTTTATGAAAAAAAAAAAAGACAATTAGGTTGGTTCATTTGGTATGTGTTATTCACAGAGAATATATTTTGTCTCCTGGTGATTACCTCATTCTTTTCTAAATGTTTACAAGATTAAAATCTTAGCTGTTATTATCTTGATTTTAGAATTCTTCAAAAAATCTCTCATTTCTCCTATGCTGAAAAACGAACATATATATAATTCTAGTGATTAATATTCCTGTTAGTTAACTGATTAGTTTTTATCAGGCTTTAAAAATCTGTAAGAGGTGACAATGTTTTATATCTCTATTATAGGCAAAACATAGCATATAGACAACATTTTAAATATAAAGCTTAAATTATGCATGAACACGGACACTCAAAAGAGTTGGTATTTGGGGTGTTGAAATATCTTTATTTGATGGTTTTTTTTAAATGAAATAGTTAGATACCCATTCTTGATGCTATTTTTGTAAAACTAAGAATAATATTTTATTTTCTTAACACACAAAGGACATCTTTCTAAAGACAATAGCCAACATCATTCTCAATGTTGAAACAGTAAAAAAATTCCAGTTTAAATCAAGTATAATACCTACCCTGATCTATATCACCAGTGATATTTTTTTAATGAATTTTTAACAATGCAGTAAAATGCAGTGCAGAGATGAAAGCTATAAAATGAGACATACGTACCATTATTTGCAGATGCTTTAACTACAGACCTAGGGAATATGAGATAATCAAATAAAACTTTTAAATTAATAAAAATGTATTAAAGTGATTAGTTAAAATATAAGTATACGGATTGCTACCTTTAAAACTCAAGAGCCAGTTTTAAGACCTGAAAGAAAAATATTCTATTCCCAGTAGCAACAACAAAAACACTGGTAAAAAGAAACCATAAAATTTGGAGGATTAAACCCAATAACAAATGTAGAGGATGTAATGAAGATCACTATTGTTAAACTTTACTGGGAAATCCAAAAAGAATAGAATAAAAAGGAGAGGTACCATATTCCAGAATGTATGTTCTAGAGAGGAAATTCTCTCCAAACCAAATCCAGGTCTACTCCAATAAAAACCTTAATATGGATTTTTTTTTAATTTAAAGTTCATCTAGAAAAAGAAACAGATTAGAATACCTAAGAAAAATATTTTTTTTAAACAGAGAGAAATGTCTGATATCCTTCTACCAGATATTCAACTGACTTCAACCTGGTAGAGTGTGAGGATAAGATAACCTTGTTCTTTCTCACTGCTAACCCTTCACCCTATTGCTTTCTCATCCCTTGATGAAAATATGGACAGGTTTTAAGGTTTCCAGTAACATTTAGATTTTTAAAAATGCATTTTGGTCACTTTAATGATAAGAAAACATTCTGATTTTAGTGGTTATAATATCGAGTGTAGTTTAAAATTAAAACTGTTTGTTTCATTTAAAGTTGTATTTTCCTTCCTCCCTCAACGAGGGCCAGAAAGCTGCAGTAACAGTGATAGATGCAGGAGGCAGATAAGGGGTGTCCCCAGAGAATCTCCTACCCTTTCCTGACAGATTCTGAATAATGCCCGCACGCATACTGGGGGAACAGGGTGAAGCCATGGAAACTTCTCCCCTTGTGCAGGGGGCAGGAGGCTGGCCTCTTCAGCTCCTGAAGAGATCTGGTAATCAATTTGTGAGGTGAGAGCTCATTGGCAGGACTCCCTCTAGCTTTGCTGAGTGTTTTCCCCCCACTTTTCCCTTTTTACCCAATAAATTCTGCTCTCCTCACTCTTTAGTGTGTCTGCTGTGTCCACACAAGAACCCGTTTTAGCTGAACTAAGGAGCAAAAATTCTGCATCAATAAAGGCAAAGAATGCCCTAGGCTTCCTGGCTATTAGGGAACAACTTCTATTCGGTTGACTGCATGCTCTGGCTCCTTAAAGAGAGAGGCGGAGGAGAGATGGGGAAACAGGAAAAGCCTTGCCCACCTGCACAGTGATGATTACCAATTGGTGCCCTCTGGGTGAGCTGATGAGTCTTTGTCTCCAATGCTGATTCTTTCTCTCAGAAGTAACTCTCCTGGGTTTTTGGAAGGACCACCATTTGGAGCCCTCAGAGGGTGGGTTCTCTTTTTTTTCAGAGTTTTATTGTATTGCACTAAAGGAAGAGCAGGATGGTTATACAATTTTCTCTCTCATTCGGTTTTGAAAATCAAAGTACTTGCAAATTCTTAAAATACCTTTACCACCAGATTAAAACAGTAAGCATAATAACCAATTTCTTAATAAGAAATGTCTTACAAATAAAAACATTTAAAATAGCTTCAATTGCATTCTTCACAAGTAATTCAGCATATATTTGTAAGCATAAGTAAACATGATATAAAAATATAGAGTGGGTTCTTAACATGTGCAGTGGTGTCCCTCCAACAGCCACCTCTGATTCATCCCTAGCCCCTGGGCATCTGGCAGTCAGCTCTTCCAGTGCAGATCGCCCGTCCCTGCAGTCATCCTATGCAGGAGTGAGACCACCTCCACGTGGCCCCCATTCCATCTGTGAGATGCTCCTTTCTTCCCATGCAGGAGGGGTGTGGTTAAGCTGAGGTTGCCCTCTCTCTTACGTCTCCTTAGGCAGCTCCTAGGCTCAGCTCTTCATAACCTTTGCTCCCTAAACTCCAGAGAGTGCATACCATGCTCTTTGAGTGGCGTTCCTTGAACCCTCACTCTCCCTTGACTGATGATGAGGGGAAATCCTTCTGTCCCATACCCTCTAGAGGGGTGGTAGAATGGGAGACACAAAGCACCTTAACAGCTCTCTAAAAACATATTTTTCCTCTTGGCCTTTTAAATGTCAGCACTTTTATGCTCAGGGGTAAGTGAGCCTAAGAGTCCTAAACTGATGTTGAGAGGGCTGAGACAGCCTGAAAGGTGTTCCATGACCCCTGCCTCCTGGTGTCCATGCCTTTGTGTAGTTCTCTCCCTAGTAGAAAAAAGCAACCAGCAATGGCCAGTAATTCGGTTTACGACAGAATAACTGGAAGTGGCCACAGAAGTGTGAAAAAAATATTTAATATCAAATCAAAATAACATGTATATTTAACAAATTAATTTTTATGGAATAAAATGTCAACAAGATTGACAGAGTTAAAAGCATGACAATAAACCATGCTAATGAAGCCTCAGTGAGACAAGAATTCGCATAATCTCTGGTGAGAATATAAATTATTACCAATATTTTTGAAAGCACTTTGACAGTAACTATTGAGAAATTTAGCAGAATTCATACCTTTTGGTCAAATAATTCTATCTCTAGGAATCTATCCTAAAGAAATCTGAAAAATAAATTATGTAAATTAAAAAGATTATGAAAATAAAATTATGAAAATAAAATTAAGGTAAAAAAGACCTTATAACAGCACTGTTTAAACTAGCTAAAAATTAGGGGAAATTAAGTACCTACTAATAATAGAATAGATAAAAATAGACAAAAGATTTATAATGCATAAGTATGATGAAATATTAATCAAGCATGAAAAATATTTAAGAATGTGAGAATACTCATATTGCAATATTCACTGAAAATGTATGTAAAATGGAACGTGCTTATCCACTCATTAAAATTATTTATTGAGTAAATATGCCTATTATTTTGTACACATTGTGTTAAATTCATGTAATGATCCCTATTTTGTTGCGTATGGCTATAACTCAAATTACCCTTGAGTGTTCTGAAGCTTGAGATTTTTATAATTTTTATTTATTGCCCTGTACTTCTCTGTATTTTTCATTTCCCCCCATGTAAGTGTAAAGCAATAAATGAACCGCTATGAAATCTCATTTCTTCCAGTACTTTTACTGGAGTTGTGCCCAAAGATTAAGCTGCCTCAAGGCCCTCAGCGAGGTAAGATATTTGGTTATCACATTCATCTCCCAGTTTTATTATTAGTTAATGGGATGTGGGAGTGGTGGGTAGATAAAAACAAACAACAAGAACAGCTGACATTTTAGGATGTAGTGAACATTGCAAGGCTTGCCTAAGGAGAGCTTTTTAAAGAGGACAGTGTGGCTTGCTGCTGAGATTCTGCAAAGCTGGGTGTGTGCTGAGCTCCAGAGAGCCTGGCTGCTTAGCAACTCCCACATAAAGTCATCTTTCTCTCCTTTAAAAAAAATGCCAGGCTATGCATGACTGAAATGAAGATGTTCTAGTTCACTGGAGCTCGGAGAGCAATTACTTGTAGCTGTCTTTGGCATTTGTGCCAGGCATATCAGAAAATAAAATGAAGATGCTGTGCACACCCCATGTCTTCATCTCCAACGTGTGGCAAGGAGTGCAATGAAAGGAGCAGCTGTTCTCCCAAGGCCTTATGTCCTCTCCTCTTCATAGACAGAAAGTGCAGAAGAGCAGTTCTTGACTTGGTGGACCTGGAGAAACCTTTCATTTTGACGGCTAAGAGTAGGGTAAGAGGGGACAGAGTGGAGGGTAGAATAAGTCATTTGGGTTTACTAAAAGATCCTCCACTTCAAGGTCATTTTTCTGCTTGCCTCAAGAGCAGCACCCTAGGGAAACTTTTTTTTTTTTGAGACAGAGTTTTTGCTCTTGTTGCCCAGACTGGAGTGCAATGGCTCAGTCTCGGCTCACTGCAACCTCTGCCTCCCGGGTTCCTGCGATTCTCCTGCCTCAGCCTCCTGAGTAGCTGGGATTATGGGTACATGTTACCACATGTGGCTGATTTTTTAATTTTTAGTAGAGACAGGATTTCACTATGTTGGCTGGGCTTGTCTTGAACTACTAACCTCAGGTGATCCACCTGCTTCGGCCTCTCAAAGTGCTGGGATTACAGGCGTGAGCCACCATACCCAGCCTAGAGAAACTTTCTAAAAGCCAGATTAAAAGGCCTTTTTTTTTCTGTAGTCACTCCATCCCTGCTGTATTTGCCTTACAGAAATTAACAAGACCCGAAAGCTTTCCCATTCTTCAGATTCTGCATACCTGCTGTATGCATACCCACCCATGTCATGTTTTGAAGCATCTGAAATAACCTTGATTAACTTTTCTCCAAAGAACAATGCACTTCCTTCATTGTCACTTAGATCTTCAAGACCCCTAGGAGTTACCTCTGGTAGCTCTACTCTTACTCCTGTCTTCTTCAGCACAGCATGTATGTCATGATGCCATCTTTTCTACCTCCCATCAGAGTAGCCATATGCAGTAGCGTGCCCAGAAACAGCAACGGTGAGGTCATAGGGATCAGGGGGAGGAAATGGTCCATGTGACAAAATGGCTCTCTTCTTTCCCTGTGAAAGGTGTGAAATATAAGTATGTATGCCTGCACTACTTTTATTTGTAGAGTTATGATTGATTTTAGCAAGTGACTATTATTTGTAAGAGCACTAGTCTATCAGGGTATTTAAAAAGGAATATGACATTCTGTTCTTCAAAATGCTTACTGGTTAATGGGAGAGACAGACGTAGTAGTAAACAAATTGTACAAAGCACAAAGAAAAAAGGGGTGAAGGGACAGTGTTTCATGGAAGCAGTAGCCTGGGGAGAATAACCTCAGAGTCTCAGGCAGCACTGATGTCACGGTGCAGAGAGGTGCTGGGGAATAGCTAAATAAAAGATTCCCCCTGGATCTAGAGACAGAAGGAAGGGTCACTTGGAGGGCAGAGAATCTGAAAACAAGAAGAAAGATTCTTCAGGGACCAGATATGGATGGTACTAACATGATGATAGAATTCTAATAGGTGAAGCCTGAGAAATCCACAGGAGGGCAAGAAACCCTGCAGAGTGAAGGAGATTTTAGGGATCAAAGAAGCAGATGCCTTCCCTAACTAGAATAACCAAAAGGACTAGCCTGCAGAGCAGGAAGGGGAGGAAGGGACCACATTGGGAGGCTGATTAGGAAGTGGACTCTAGAAATAGCAGAGACCAAGGCCTAAGTGAGAACACTAACATTTATTGTGCTATTTCTGTGCACCAGTCCCTGTATAATTGTCAAAGACAGTGAAAGGTCTGCAATTTTACCCTGCTCACAAGCCTGACAAGTTAGTTTGTCAGTTTCGAGGATGTTGGTAGAAGACATGAAACTTCTAAGTTAGAGATGAAGGACTTCGCAATCATGGCACAGCAAGTGGCATGAACATCAGCATATGTGCATCAGTTCCTCTTCCTGAAGTCCTATGGGGATAATGCTGATAGGACCTGATGAATATCTGCATACATAGTTGGTTTCATTTCAGGAGATGAACCTGGAGATAAGGAACTCCATATCTTTTATAATGAGCAGTCATTGTGCTTGTACTTTGCTATGGCAGGAGACACTTGTGCAAGACTGTTTGCTGTACACATTCCCTTGATAGTCCAGAAGAAAGAGTATTAATAGTTAATACCTCTGCTTGCAAGGTGTGCAGATATGCAAGAGACCCTTAGAGAATTGCCTCCCAACAGCTATGTGCTTACTGCTTACAAGCAGACCTGAAGACTGTCATTTAAAATGTTCTGAAAGAGCCATGGTCTTCAATGAACAATGCACTATTGCTCTATTTTGCGCATCCTTTCAAAATAGAAGTTGAGAATTTTAAAAAAGAGTTTAACTTTCAAAAATTCTGGAATGTTTTCAATTTCCCCATGTTTCTTAATTTTGCTGCATCTTGTCTGTTTGTCTAGGGGATGAGTAGGAACACTTAGATAAACAGCTTTCAGCATGCCAGGAGAGAAACAAAAAGAGAGCTGGGGTCTTCTACCAGCATCTATGCAATAGACTGGGGTAATCAGTCCTCCAGCATGGCATAGGTTTTGCTGTGTCTCCAGTCTCTTTGTGATGAACTCATCACCCCTGAGTCTGCATGACTGAGCAGCCTCTCTGTCACTGTTCAGGGCCTGCCTCCCTCCAGCACTGGGAAAGAAGACAAGTGCTTGTACACAGAGATTCAGCCTCAGGCTATAGCCACATGTAGATACTGTCTAGGCAGGCCATTTCCTGGATCTTATACAACAATGTGTTTAAGAAAGAATTAAATCTATTCAGAACTTACAGTGCTAATATTGTGCCACTTTAGCATTAATTAAAATCTCTCTTACACTCAAGATTTCTAGAAAGATTCATTTGATCTGTAATATTCAATTTTAGCTCATTCAGAAGAGCTGAGGTTGCTGTGGATTTCCAAAGCATTGCACTCCAACATTCAGTTCCTGTTTGTGCCAGTCGATTATCAATTCTTACAAACAAATTGCTCTGCTCTGCTAAGATTCCAGCTCCTTCCTTTTTTCAAATCTCTTTTTAAAAATGTGGTGCTTCAGACATTTTATTATCCACAGGGCTTTAGGCCAGGAATTGATTTCATTTGGGAAAGTGGCCGGCTATGAAGTTGTAGACTCCTGGATTATTAGTAGTTGGCTCTTAGAAAAGAAAAATTGGTTAGAGAAAACTGAAAACGACTGATGTCACTTATGATTTGCCACTTTTCAATTTCAAGATATAATTGAGTATTTTTCTATATTCTGAAACTTAACACTTCCAGAGAAATTTTAATCAGTGATGAAGACTATATAGTAATAATTAAGTTTAAACAACATTGTGCACTATATGTAGTACCTAAAGGGGAGGGAAAAGTAAAAAACACTTCAGAAAGTTTTCCTAGACTTTCTTTAGATAACACCTGGAAATTCATCTGGAACTTCTTATTTGGTACAGGATTAAGTAAGAATGCAATATTGAAACTCACCACACATTAAAATTTATGATGCCCTTAAGAGACGCTCAGCATTGATTCATTGTTTTTCTACAGAATCTTGGTAAAAATTTCTTGAATATCTTCCAGCCTTAACCAGTAATGACTTTACATGAGTAGACGTCCTTGGTAATGGAGTTTGGCAATTTTCTTAGAAGGTATTGCTCTTAGGTTTAGACAAGCTGGTGATTCTTACTGAAGAACTCAGTGTTTGAATTACTATTATCATTGAGGTTTACAGGGCAGGATTACATTCATCCCCCAAAATGGGCATGGACCAAGGGTCACAGTGCAGCTTAGGCAAAGAAGTATAAATCGCTTGGCCCAAGGCAAGTGCTAATGGGGCCAAAGAAGTATAAATCGCTTGGTCCAAGTGCAAGTGCAATTAAATAATTAGACTGAGAGCACACACACACACACACACACACGCACACATGTAGTATATACTCTATTTCATATGCACAAGACAGTGTAATTTGTAAGTATGTACTTTGCCCCATTACTGAGGTATGTCATAATAAGTAATAGCTTAAACTTTAGAGAGAGAGAGAGAGAGAGAGAGAGAGTGTGTGTGTGTGTGTGTGTGTGTGAGAGAGAGAGAGAGAGAGAGATTTGAGTTCAAAACATGGTTATTTACTTGGTAGCTAATAATTTAACTTCTTTGTACCTTAAGGTTAAGAAGGAAAAAATAAGAGAACATATCTTCTAGGTCTCATGAGAAATAAAATAATACATATAAGATGGTTAACATAGTATCTGGCACTCAGTGTCTGGTACTGGCATTCATTAAATGCTAGCTCTTATAATTATTAACACTGGAATTATATGCAGCCGTCTTAAAATGGATTAGTATTATTAACCATCAAACATACTCAGCAGCGAAGTTTGAGAGTGGGAAACCCAGAATAAAGACTGGTCTTGCCTATAAATCTACCAGGAAATTCTAAGTGCTACATTTCAGAATGATTGACTTAGTAAAATATTTATGATAGATAGAAAATTAAAGAGATTAAAAACAAGAACAATTGTTTAAAAAAACCTCATTTATCAATTTATTCATATTTGTATTCGATAGTTTTTGACGACCTAGTGCCCACCATGAAAAGTATGTGTGCTTGAAGATATTAAAGAAATATCAGCTCTCATCTCTGTTCTCCCTTCAAGCCATCATTAAAGGAGAAGGATATAGTTAATATTTATTTATTTAAAATTAATGAAAATATAAATATTGAGTTACTTTCACTTTTGTCACAACTATGGTAAATTCAGATCTTGGTAAATAGAAACAGTCTTTAAAATTACAAATGTATCTAGTTGATGAACTGCCCATGCAAAAATGCCTATTACTGCCTATTTTACAGTAGACTGATTAATCAAACCAAAATACAATACTCACATTACCTATTGGCTAATAAACTAAATAATTTATTCTTAAGAATAAACTAAAATAATTTATTCATAAGATCCTAATTTATACGTTATGTTCACTCAGAAATACAACCCTAAGGTTTATACTTCTACTTAGCTTCAGTTTGAATAGACGTACAATCATTTAAACAAAAGCAGTCAAACTAAAAAGGAAAGCATTCAAAATATCTAGAAAATAGAAACTGTTCCTCTTTCTAGATCTCTATAAGAAGGCTCACTTGAAGGTAAAATCAGCACCATCGTTTTTCACTCTTTCTTTCCAAGGCAGTAGTGGGGCTAAAATTCAATGTACAAGGATG